GCTGCGGGTGCGGGGTCAGCGCAGCAGAGCCGGTGACACCCGTGTGCACACAACAAGTGCTCAGAGCAGGGCTCAGCACGTTACACGTGTCCTGTCTGATGCTAAACAGCGGCTAAGCCTCAATTTCTATCTTTAATCAAGCGGGTTTTGCCTTAGTTGTGATTTTTGGTGTCCATCCCTTCTCCCGTGGCATGTAGGTGGCGGTGTCATCATCTTCCCAGGCCGGTGTCTGCTGGAGCCTTGAGTTACCCTCTCCAGAGCAGAGCTTCCCCATGGGCCAGTAGGCACCAAGCCATGGGGTAGGACTCTCCTCTAGGACAGCTTGTCACAGGTTCCTGCACTCATCTCTGGAGACCACAGGTTAACCCTCACACAGTGGCGCTGGTTGGTGATAGGAAGTAGTAGGCACCACTCATGTGCCAGCTAGCCTGGATGTCCTGTACAAGTGTAAGTGGGAGCAATAGCATCTTGTAAACAACATCTTTGTGACCACTGAGGAAATCAATGTTGTCAGCAGAGGCATTTCCCTATTTTACTAATAATGATTTACTTTCAGACTTCAGTGGTATCAAGACTCAGAGTGCCAGAAGATGCATTGAGTGCCACAGGCCTGCCCCTTTTGCCCAGTCACTCCTTGGTGCTGAGCATCTTGCCCCTCTCTTCTAGCTGGAGTGACTATATTTAGACCAGACCTTGTTGCTTTGATTCTGAGCAGGAGGTTTGTTTGCTTCCCCCCTGCCTCAAGTAAAGACTATATGTGAGGCACTAACATTTCCAAAGACACATTAAAAGAACACTTAGCGATGTTCAGCCGCTTGGATCACTCAATTGGTTGAACAAAGCTAACCCTGTAATTTTGCATACAGGGTGTCTTGCACATGAATGAAAATAGGGAGGGTGGATGGTATGATGTGTTCTCTTTGCTGGACTGCTCTGTTCCTGTATCCTGGAGAAGATGGGTATGAAAGAGGGTAATAACCACAGTAAAATGATTTTCTCTGTGTGTCTTTCTGAAGTGTGTAGGTATTTATGTGTAGTAAGAGGCCAAAGTGCATCTGAATCAGTTTTCCTCTTTTAATCTGTAAGCATGGAGTGAGTGAAGGCATTCCAGCTTTGCTGAGTCCTCCACCTGGGGGACCATACTTCCCATGAATCTGTGGAAGGGCTTGGATAGGCTTAGTTTTAGTCCTTCATACATGTTCTCTAAAATAAAGAGGAAGCAGGGAATAACGAGTGAGTGGAGGCAGCAGTCATGAAAAAAAAAGAATTCAGCAGG